TTTTATTCTTACTCCTCAAAGTATCTCGCTTCTCACGCTCCTCTCACTTCCGTTCTCTGCTCTCTTTACTTCCGTTCCACCCATGTTGTCTGCATTGTTCCCTATCGTCTCCGACGTACTCGAATGTGCAGTTGAAACCCAACACAACTTTAACATAATTTGCAACAAACTTTCAAAAAATGAAATTGCAATATTCATGAAGAAGAAATAAATTCAATGAAACAGCACAAGTATCTACTAATAAAGTTTCCGATAAGCGTAACATAAACCAATTTTAAAGTAAATGGTTCGAACCCGGGAGTATCGTTACATGTTTGTAAATGTAGATCGTCCAGGTTGGTATAGTGCTGAGAAGGACTGACTACCGCTAAGGCTGTCGAAACGTCAGTCAACAACAACAAAAACAGTCCTTCTCAGGACTATACCAACCTGAACGATCTACATTTACAAACATCTAATAAGCCAATTTTCCAATCTTTCAATTGATGGGGAAACCTTTTGCAGTTCTTTGAAAGATTTCCTCTTCACTTTTCAAGCATAAAAATCAACCTCTACTTAAAGTTTTCTTGTGTGTGAGGTTGATTTTTAGTGGCTAATTGAGTTCATAGGTGTACCTATTTAAATCTAACTTTTATACAACCACATGTGACATGCAACCACGCTACAATATAAAAAACAAATTTCATATAAAATTAAGATTCTCTGCTTTCTTATATTATAATATAGATCTTTACTACAGTAGATTAGCGGAACCCTCAGGAACTGTCCTACAAATAGACGTAGCACGAGTAATAAAAGGTGGGAAATTCTGCCTTATGAAAACTATAGACACTTGCTCATACCTGACCCATATCCTAACACCAAACCTAATCCTAACACCAAACCTAATCCTAACTCCAAACCTAATCCTAACACCAAACCTAATCCTAACAACAAACCTAATCCTAACACCAACCCATCCCTAACTATAACCAAAACCATATTTAGAAAACTAACTATTTTTCAGACTGTCTAATGTGCTTACAATCTAAAACAAACATTGTATTTTCTTGCTGAAATAACAATACAAGCCCATGCTCCCATGCTAGCACATCCGGTATCTGATAAACTGCAGTCTAGCCAGATATAGCATAGTATCATAGAATACCAATAACAATGTCCTAATGAAACTGTACTAATCAAATTAAATAAATCAAACGGTGAAGACATTAATATAGCGCATGTGGTTTAAATCTCAATAAAATTAGCTGTACTAGGGTAGCGTCAAATATACGTTTCTGCCAAAGACGTCAATATGACATCTCTCACAAACTCCCACACCAACTTGGTGTCATACTGGCTGTCAAAATTCTTAATACTCGGTGTTTAGGAGCGCATGCTTCGTGAAAAAAAGGCATCTTGTCTGCAAATCCCCTCCCTCCCTTCCAGACGTCATATTGACGTCATTTTGACAGAAACGTATATTTGGCACTTCATTATATATGCATAATATCAAAAAATTATTTTGGTATTAGTAAACAAAAAATAGTGAATATAATCTCAGGGACTAAGTTGACTTTAATAATGAAAGTTGCAAAATCTTCGCGCTCTAATTGTACAATTGTGGATTACATATTAAACAGGATTAAAAAGGATTAAATTTAACGTCAAACTGACAGTGATATTGTGAACAAATGCAGCGTTTATAAACTTGGCAAGCAACGACAAAATGTTGTGATTTCTGTAAACTTTTTAATTCTTCAAAACATCGCCGAATTACAGCGAACACACTTCACAGCAATCGGATTATATAAAGCATTTAATTATCATAATATAGTGTAACAAAATAGTCAATTCTGAGATAAAGCGTTTTTTCTTCCATGAAGCTAACTTTAAATACATTCAAACCTGGTGCTTGTATCTTTCCATGTATAGTTCATCATCATCACCATCATCGTTTCATTAGTCTTCCTCACTTCTCTCTATCTATAACTTTTGTTTAATAATAATAATAAAAATTGTGATGCATTAATGACGAATGTATGATAGCGGATAGTGGCGTGACGAATGTCCATATTATGTATCCGCTACTTAAGTGCGCATAGGAAGTTAACGTTAATTTATGCAACCTTGGAGCAAGTTGTGGCTACTTCGTGTATCAACTGCATCAGATGTCACAAGAAATACTACGGTTTTCAATGGACCACAGATTCGTGTTATTTACACGATTGTATCTCTGACAAAGACAATCAGAACTCAAGCATTATCTACAATATAAGTGTGTCAAAAACTGATAAATATAAATCGATAAGTCTAAATATAAGTCTATACAATCCCATTGGCAATTACAAGTCATTTATAGGCTGCTGCAGAGTATTTTCGTCAAAAAACGAACCGCTTAGCCTTTAACATAAGTACTTCTCACAATGAATTTCAGTTTAGCATTTATCCAAACGCCAAAGTTTGATACTAAGCATTGTTGAAACACATTTTATTTTCCAGGTCTAGGATCATTTTTTCTGAGAAACTTTGCACTATCCTTGGACCCTAGTTAATTTTTGAAATCAGACTCTATTCTATTGACGCACTTTTCTCTTCATTGATTAATAGCGTCTTTGTTGTAAAATATTTTTATCAAGAAATTTGACGACAGTTTCTATTACAAAGTCCTTTGTTCAAAAATTGGCATGCCAATTTTTCAACAAACATCTTTGCCATAGAAAATTAAATTGATCACAGAATTTGCCCGTGTAGATGAACCAGCAAAGTAAGCTTGCCATGGCGTAATGCAACTTCTCGTAACAAGACTTTCACGTAAGAAAAATTTAACATGAATTAATTAAGAATTTTTTAAACAATTCACTTTACCGCAAATTTTATGAAGCCTTCAGTATCAGTTACGCCGATTCACGCATAACGTTTTTGCGTTTTTGAGTAGACCACAGCCCAAAATCCTCTTTATATTCTTTGCTTATTTTCACATTTGTGTAGCAAAAGAAAAGTTGCGATAAAACACGAAAGTATACATTTGAGTATTGAAAATCAATCCCATATTTTTGCTATTACTGCATCAATTGCAAAACAAGCAAACAATGGCGTCTCCAACTCCATAAGCGAGGGGTGTTTTCTTCATATATTTATGTTTTTCCTTATTAAGTTCTTTTCAAGTCAATTGTTTCTTAGTGACTAAAATATGAATGTATGAATATCGCTTATTTATCTGGCGACGCTACTGCAAGCAATGAATAAACTATCCCATGGACACGAAAAAATAATCTTTGTCAAAGAAAACTTTGGCAAATAGACATTTTACTTATTTACATGGATATAGTCCTGCGGTGTATATAGTTTTGCCATAGAAACTTTGCTCGTGTAAATTACGCTTTACGCTGTCAGTCAGATGAGTTTTCAACGAGTTTTTTACGAGGAAGACGAAAGCAAACCGTTATGATTATTTAATTTCGAAGCACAAAAGACGTTTTAGCTTCCATACAAAAATAGTTTGAAGAATTCTACATTTATAATTGTGCAATAAAACAAACATTGACGTCGGTGTGAAGAATGCTAAGTCTCATTCAATAATAGTCAAATATTTCTCGCCATTGTCTTCATTGATCATCGAATTACTGACAGAAGTATTTCGATATTCGTTAACACTTTTACCATTTGTTACATTACCATTCTTCAGCAATGGTTGATAACCGTCATTTTCTGTATCATTTCTATTTCCTGGAAGTTTTATCAAAGATTTATATTGCTTACCTTTCTCTTCATCAATCATCAAATCACTGACAAAAGAATTTTTGTATTGATCAACACTTTCACCATTTGTTACATTACCATTCTTCAGCAGTGGTTGATAGTCATTACTTTCTAAGTCATTTCTACAGCCTGAGGGTAATATCAAAGATGTATATCGTTCACCATTATGTTCAATTGAATCACGGACTGAAGAATTTTCGCATTGATCAACACTCTGTTTCTGCGGAGACTTGTCAAATGTTACAATAATAGGTTCCTCATATCCGGGAGGTTCCTCATTCCCATCTCGGTTCTTCATACACGCGATTCTGACTTTGATGTGATCGAGACTGGAGCATAAATTCGTTGTTCCAGTCTCGATCACATCAAAGTCAGAATTTCGTTGCTGGATCATTTAAGTTGGTTTCAGAGTTATGATCTATGAAAAGGCATGAAAAAGTGCTGTTTCATTTCAATGACATTTAAATTTACATGAGTACTATTTTAATATGTGGTGCAATTTGTGATTTCTATAAACATGACGTTTTGATAAAGCTTTTATGACGTCAAAAGTAACGTTTTCAACGCAAAATTTTTCAGAAAAGTTAAAGTAAGTCGATTTTTTTGTTCAACCAAAAGATTGTGTGTATATGTACAACTTGTTAGTATATACATTATGTGTATATAATATCGATGTTATTTGAATAGCTGATAAATCCTTTTATGGAAAAATAATCATGAATTTATTGAATAAGGAAGTTACTATACCTTGATTTAAGATGCGATCTCGTTGGTATATTGGTCGGCCATTGCCGGATCTCGTCTAAGTAGTCAATTAAAGTTGCAGTAAAATTGCTATGCATTGAATACTTTCTAATGATCATCGGTGTCGAGTTTTAAGCACCGCTTATAAGGCATTTACTGCTTCAACGTCAAATGTCGATTGTTTTTGCTTATTTTTTACTCACCATTTTTTTGTTTTTCTTCATCCGCCTTCTAAAGAGATAACACAACAAGAGAATACAAAACAGAAACAAAATTGCCGCAATTGCATAGGAAATGACAGTCTTTATAAGTTTTCCGATAAATTTGCGCGAAGAACCTGGAGAGAATAGAAAATCCATGTGAACACATGATACTAATATAGATTGGACAAGAAGATATTTTTAGCAAAATATTTAATAACAGACGACAGGTGCAGTAGTTTAATCTAGTTTAATAGTTTTTTCGCACCAGTAAAATAATTTAAAAACTTCATTGTCACTCACTATTCAACCCACCTTTAATGCATTGTCTCTTGTTAATAGCTCCAGTTTCTATGGTGATCTTGTTCATTCCACACGCAAAACATTTTGTTTTTCCAGTCTGTGGTTGATAACTATTTCTTTTACATTTGGTACAATTTAAAGTCGTTTTGTTAAAATAGGAACCTGCATTACAATCTAAAGTCGAAAAAGGTTTCATTAGACCGAATTATTTTGATGTGTTCCAAAAACGTCAACTTACTTTGAATACAATCAGATTGAAAAACACTTCCCTCTTTCTCTGTGATTGGTAGATTTATTGGACACACGTCACATGTGATCTGTCCTTTTTTTCTCTTGTGTCGAGTTTCGGGGACATTTTGTACAAACCATTTCAATAAAATTAAAATAATGACCTGGATGACATTCTGAACAAAAAGTTGTAGATACTATCAACAATAGATCCATAAAATGCTGAGGTTGGAAAACATACCTTCTTTACAGTCGGTTATATTAACATGAGGATCATCGGTATACGTCATTATACCATTTGCACACTGATAAGTAAAGATTGTATTCTTTGTCCCCAAAACACGTATCAACCAATGAAACTGTCTTTTCATTGGTTGATACGTGTTTTGGGGACAAAGAATACAATCAGATTGGTCGACACTGTACATGTATCCCGGATTGCAGTCTACAAAAATGCATCAATATTTCAAAGTTTCTAGTTAACGAATCTTTATTTTGTTAGCGTACATACACAGGGTATAGTTGACAAAGCATTTATCACATTTGATACACTTAAAATGGCAACACCAATGACAAAAGGTTAAGCATCTTCAATTGGCGTGATTGGGAATTGAAAAATGTTAAAAATAAAAGCAAAGCAGGAGAATATTTAGCGATGGTGGTCAGGAATTAGTAACGAGGTGAAGGAAATATCCAAGAGATTGATTTGAAAGTGCAATCTTAGAGTTGTAAAGAAAACGGAAATAATAAAAACAACAACACGAACTAATAGAACAATCTATAAAAACGATGATTGAAATAGAAACGCTGACTTGACAATATTCGTTAAGTTATTTTAAAAAAATCTAAAATATTTAATGTGTTTAATAATGTCTTTATCATATTATGTAAATTAATTATAAACCTTGGGATAAGTTTGAAAATTTTCGAGAAACATAAAAAGTAGTAGAGTGAGCTTGCAAAACACTTTGCAAAAAGGCATAAAAAAATACTTACCAAAAGCATTACCAGGAGTGGTCAGGTTAAAGATAACATATATTGATTATATGTGTATTGCTGGGTTTTTGAGACCTCGTGAAAATATTTTTTCCGTACGGACCTCCCATACGGTAAATAAAATATAATTTATGAGTCAACTTAAAAATTAATTTCATTACATTTATCACAAAACTTTGTAAAACTTGTCTTAATTGCACAACTCTTCACCTTAACGCACTGCTCTACATGATTTTGTGCCTAACAATTTACTCAAAAATGAGCAAATTGTTTACTCAGAAAAATATGTGTATTTTCAACACAAAAAGTTGTTTAAATGATTTGAATTACCTGAAATTTTCTATATTTTCAACTCAAAAACATAAGTTAAGACTTTGCCGTATTTTGAGGTTGACAGAACGCAAAGTTCTGAGTTAAATGAGATGATTTATGCAATTAATTTCGTAAATTCACATTAATATTCATGCAGTTAATTTTGTATATTTTAAACTCAAAAACATAAGTTAAGTATTTACCGTACTTTTGTATTCACAAATCTCAAAATTCTGGGTTAATTAAAATGATTTTATTGAAATAATTTACGCGTACATTTACACAAATATTAATGAAGTGCGTGCAACATTAAGTTTCACAGAAGGTTCATATGATAAAAGCATCAAACTTATAAATATACAAATGATTTTACTTTTTTATCTTATCAGCAATTCTTGTTTGTATTTTAGCAACGTTTGCTAAAAGTTCAGCAGAAAAACTTGAAATTGTGTTAAAAGATTTCCAGTCTCTGAAGTCGTGGACACACAGATATCTTTAATGCTCACTAAATTTATCATGAATTTTAACAAACAACTTAATAACAAAAAGCTCTTCCAGCAAAAGTGAAAATCTTTCTATATAATTAATATATTTGTAAAACCCATGGTAATTTTACAATGAAAAATATGTCGAATTGTAGATTATGAATGTTAAAATTGCGTTTTATGAAATGTTATGTGGACTGTCTTAGTAATTATCACAAGTAATTTGAAGAAAAGGATATATATAAATTTACTTTATCTACTTTTCTAACCTAAATACAAATTTTACGACATAGAATTTAAATGTGATATATTTGGGGGTATATGCTAGACTAGTAATTTGTTAAATATTTCGTAAACGTGTTATATATAAATAACCATGGTACAAACCAGCGCTAACATTTGTGATATTCAATGATTGAAAAATCATATGTAAATAGTTTCAAACTACTGCTCCATAAAATTGATAAAAAAATCAACAACATGCACTGTCTTTATTTCCATCGTACCAGAATGGAGCGATGAAAGACGTGCAAGAAAGTTGGATTTTTACTATAAAGGCATATGAAATATCAGTGCATTATAAAATCTAACTATGCAAAGAAGGTATATGTACAACTTTTTACGGATTGTTCATATATTAGTAATAAAAAACAAAGAAATAGCTAAATTATTTAAAAAAAATCTTATATCTTCCAGGATCACCTAAATATGAACTATCAAAATATTTCTCTAACATTCTTTATCCTATAGTCAAAAGTTCACCTCACACCATCAAAAACGCCACCACCTTCGTTGCGAATATTGACACCGTTAAACTACAACCAGACACAATCATGATATCTTACGACGACACATTTTTTTTACATCCATACCACTAGACACAGACAAAGTATTACAAACGAACTATTCACAAACGACAAATCTTGGCAAGACACGACACAAATTGACAAAAATGACATTTTACACTTAGTCAACCTTTGTTGAATATGTCGATGGATCGCGAATAGTTCAGAACGATTTATTTTATTTAAGAAAATATGAGTTTTACATAAGATAGCTCAACAAATTAACCTCACTAGAAATACGTAAATCGAACGTTTTGTTCATATCACGATATTTGGTATATGGTCAGCGGCTAGTATATTTAATAAGTATGCTACTTTAAATAAACACCAACAACCTTTTCCTCTCCACTGAATTCTCCTTACAGAACTCATACCATAGACAAATTTAGGCACACAAATTCGAAGAAACTATCATGCAACAACTCGAATCACAAGGAAAAGATGTGTCGACGACATCTTTGCCATAATCAAGAAAGACAAAACTAAACATATCCTACACACCATAAACAATACCACAAAGAACATAACCTTCACTTAAGCAGAAGACAGGAAAAACAACTTAGTTTTTACATATCCTACTGACCAGAACAGCACACTAAACACACATGTTGTACCGCAAAACGACCCACACAGAACAAACATTCGATTTCAACAGTAATCACCCAACAGAACACAAAATAAGCTGCATACGAACAACTTTTCAACAGAATTAACACTTATGGTAACACCGAAGAAGCCAAGAAAACAGAACGCAAACCACTTATACTCCACATATGTAAAAAACAATTACCCTAGAAAATCGTGGCCAGAGATTTGCCAGGCGGAAAGCGAATTTTCAATATGAACATAATAGACCAACATAAGACTTTTAAAAAAGCCATCACAGTAATAAAATAGATAAGGATTTATTAATAACGTTTCGTCTTTAACTTAAGACATCTTCAGATTAATTGAGTAATTTATATACACGAGGTTTTAAATACAAGTATATATTACGGGGTGTTAAATTACATGTGAGGGGAGTAGGAAGTTTAGATGACGGAATTAAGTGAGAATGGCGGTATATTAAAGAAGGTGAAGGGGAAATGAGTTGCCTTGGGTGTTAAGAGAGGGTTTAAGTTTGGATATAAGAAGGCTTTCATGAATCATAAACTCCTGAGATCTGGTGTTGTATACTCATTTAAGTGTCGATGCTGCTGTGCATCGTATGTGGGTCAAACCACGCGTCATTTACACACCAGAATATCAGAACACTTGGGAATCTCTCCTTAACAGGAAAGCCTTCCTTATGTCCACCACCATCTGCAGTTCTTTCTCATATAAGAAATACATCTCACTCTGCCGATTATAATGATTTCTCAATTCTCTCTTCCTCCTCCGACAACTATGACCTTATGATTCATGAAAGCCTTCTCATATCCAAACTTAAACCCTCTCTTAACACCCAAGGCAACTCATTTCCCCTTCACCTTCTTTAATATACCGCCATTCTCACTTAATTCCGTCATCTAAACTTCCTACTCCCCTCACATGTAATTTAACACCCCGTAATATATACTTGTATTTAAAACCTCGTGTATATAAATTACTCAATTAATCTGAAGATGTCTTAAGTTAAAGACGAAACGTTATTAATAAATCCTTATCTATTTTATTACTGTGATGGCTTTTTTAAAAGTCTTATGTTGGACTATTATGTTCATATTGAAAATACCCTAGAAAACTTACAAACAAAATTATAAACAAAATACAAAACAAAACACAAACCAACAAAAGTAACGAAAAACCCAATGAAACAGTAAAAAAGATCACATTACCATGAATACATAAACGGAAAATCAAAAATGACTGCATGACTTGTTGGACAATGTAAACGTTGCCCAAAAACCAGCGCAAAACTCAAATCATATTTCACCAAACATAAAGACAAGACAACAATTCATGATACAACCGACGCAATCTACATGATACCATTTAAAAATTGGTCAAAACAATACATATAGGAGAAATCGATGAAAATCGAAACAAGACTCACAGAACACAAAAACGCCATAAAACGACGACACCCAAACTCACTACCGGCAGAACATACGTTTGCAAATAACCACACATAGAATTGGACAGAAACTAAAGTACTCGGACGCGCACAGACAAAACACGCACGCAAATTTAAAGACACTTGGTACAGTAAAGACAACGACACAATAAACAGCCATATTGACATTTCTATCGTATGTATTCACAACTAAAGAAAAAGGACAAAAATCTACTAACAACACTAATACCATAGCATCTCACGGTAATAATC